AACCGGGCTACCCATTTCTACAGATAGCCTGTTGCAAATTGTGGAGAAAATTTAAATCAAAAGTTACAATTTTTGTCCGTTTTTGTCCGTTTTTGTCCGTTTGATACCTATATTTTCAAAACGGACAAAAATTAATGGACAAAAACGGACAAAAAAATATCATGATCCCCCCGCCCCCCCCCCCCCCCCCCCCCCCCCCCCCCCCCCCGTTAGTGGGAACTAGGTTCAATTAGATTCAGTTGTCGGTCACCCGAATATATAATACTAATTTCTCTCCTCTGTTGAACTGAAAACGGGTCTCTAGACTCTAGAGCATTAAGTAAAACAGTGAAGTCGAAGAGAGTAGGAGCACGGAATCGGAGAGCCATTATATGCTCACGAGATTTGTCTAATTGTTGTGCTATTGTTACACTGTTTCCTTGTAGCGTAATATTGTTTGACTCATATTGTTTTATGAAAGATTATGTGATTAACGTAGTAGCCAAAACTTTTGTATACCATCACAGAAAATAGCTACTACTACTATTGGTATAGTTAAGTTTTCAATTATTGGACTCATACATAATTGCATGACGTATGACATATGTCTTGCATTTGCAAGTGTCGATAAGATGTACAATACCATGCCAGCATGAGAGAGTAAATCAGTGAGGTCGATGAGAGTGACACAAGTCGCCATCAAGGTTCTGGAAGCTGCTCATCCGGAGAAAACTTTGATGGAAGGTGAAAATTTGAAAATGTCCTACCGGTAGGACATTTTCAAATTTCAGCTTTCCGCGACCCAAATTTCACTGTTTTGACTGAATGATTCTTGAATGACCATCTAACAAAAATTTCGCGGTTCGGACAAAATTTTTGACCAGTGACCAAAATGAGCATAATATACTCACTAGATTGCATTGGCTTACTTTTATGAATAACCCCTTTTTAGTATTATGATAAAAGCCCAAACATATGGCAGCTTCCTAACACCAAGTTCTGGTCTGGCAAAATCTGGCAAACTGGAAAATAGATTGATATCCGGCCGCGGCCGTTTCCGGTCCGGCAGTCATAACTCCAGACCGGTCGGTTCCTATGGGTACTTTATCGGTCATCGGATTATTTGAAGGGAGGACATCCTTCAGCTTACTGAACAGATGACTCCACGTTTTACATAACAATAATATTACAAAAAAGCTGTCATAGAAAACGTTGTTCAAAAGATAAACATTCTAGTTAAAACTGGAACCTCCTGTTCCTTAAAGCCGGGGATATATCAAAATTAGTGACAACCTAGCAATTGCTAAGTAAAAGGTAGTTGGTACTCATAAAAAATGTTGGTATTCATTTCCCACCTTATTATAGATACGACTCATTAAAACTATCTTACTCGTTATTAAACTATCTTACGTAATCAGTCCCACAGTTCATAACTTCAAGTCCACCATAAAAACATTAAAATACCACCAATAACCAAGCCCACAGCCCGTTCCGATTGGTCCGCTGCTGAAGTTGCAGCTACCAGGACACACTCAGGTGAGAGGTTACTCCACTGGTAATCGCTGGTGCAGGTCGTAGTCTTGTATCCTACTAAGTGGTACCTGTAATGGTCAATGTTGATCACTTTATATATATTAGGGGCTACTGCCATTTTCAGCTTGATTTCATGAAGAACTGTAGCAAATAAAAAGTTAGTTGTTATTCATAAATTCATGAATACCACATGTTTTCAACTTTTTACGAATAGGCCTTAACGTTCAAACTGTTCTATTGTCTCTCGATTTGAGTTTCCAAATTGGTAAAGCTAACCAACCCTGATCTACTAACCCGGCGTTGCATTCGAAAGGTAGAATGTTTCCTATTGTGAAGGGAGGATCTCCTTTTTGACCAGTCAACTGAGCTCGAGTAAATCTGGAGTTTAATAACAAATTGTTTAGCGATAAAACTTGATATCGATCAACTTAATTTCAACTCATGTAATAAAGTTCTTACTTTCACTGGATTTGCGGCTGGTACACACTACAATGTACAATGTACAATGTACAATGTACAATGTACACTGTACACTGTACAATGTACATTGCTGTCCTTACCCATTGGTTATGTTCCTTATGTCTGGACACCCGTTTACACACTTAATAAGCTGTTCAAAGCTAGGACTCCACCCGCTGGCACCCCCTGAATGAATCGTGTGAGAAATTAAAAGTTGGCTGGAAAAAGCGAAAATTCAAATTCTATTTATGTTTCATTGGTAGATAAAAACTAAAAACTGCATTAGTTTTAGTATGCATAACTTCAAGTAAAGATCGTATTAAAACCTGTATTGCATTGAACCTCTGTTTTCCCATCGTCCCCGATAGCTTGAGCAAACTTGGGAGCACACGAAACCTTTACTTTTTCGTCACTTATTCGTATTGGAGGTGAATTGGCCTCGTTACCTGTGTTTTGCGATTTAAGTTTGATTTTAAGATAATTTCTATAGTTGAATTTCCATTTTTGGGTAGATTGCGTAGAGTTAGACAAAAGCTCCTTTTTAATAATCATATTTATTCTATGATCAGCGTAATTGAATATAAAATATATGCTAATGATACACTTATAAAAGTTAAATTGTTTTTTACCTAACATTATAGAAGGATATTTGATGGTCTGACCAGCGGCTCTCATAGGGTTACATCCCCGAGCACAATAGAACTTTCTCGTACCATCGTTATACTCATTATTTACCACATCTTTAACGAATATGTTCGGTATCATGTTGTTCACAGTACATGTTCCTGGTTGGGTACAGGTTAGTTTCATGTAATGTTACTGCACGTTTTGGACGTGCAGACGAGAAATTGGTTGGTAATTCCAGGTTAGTTTCATTTAATGTTACTGCACATTTTGGACGTGCAGACGAGACATTTTAACGAAAATGTTGACCACCGTTTTATCTTTGCGTTATTTCACGATCCCCATAAAATCTACAGGATCTCAGAAAGCGTTGTTATCAATGTTATTTATCAAAATATCCAGTATAGGTGATTGATTATTTATAATTATCAAACCAGTTATTTTGCCATCAATATCCAGTCGGGTAATGTTGACGTTGTCCACAGCTCTCACACCGTTAACGAACACGTGATTACCCTTAGCACATGTCATTATGAACTCTTTGTCGTCCTGTAAAACCGCTATCATACTTATACAGATCTGGCAAAACATATAGATCTGCCTGGCAAACATTTCACAAATTTCCAGCTTTCTTCAGCAATTCTTAAATACTGCATCTCAACAAATGTCCAGAAAACTAGCAAAATAAAAAACAGTCCTGAATCTCACCAGTAAAGTAATTAATAATTATAAAGTTAAAACCAAACCAGAGTTTCTTATCTCACCAGTAAAGTAATTAATAATTATAAAGTTAAAACCAAACCAGAGTTTCTTATCTCACCAGTAAAGTAATTAATAATTATAAAGTTAAAACCAAACCAGAGTTTCTTATCTCACCAGTAAAGTAATTAATAATTATAAAGTTAAAACCAAACCAGAGTTTCTTATCTCACCAGTAAAGTAATTAATAATTATAAAGTTAAAACCAAACCAGAGTTTCTTATCTCACCAGTAAAGTAATTAATAATTATAAAGTTAAAACCAAACCAGAGTTTCTTATCTCACCAGTAAAGTAATTAATAATTATAAAGTTAAAACCAAACCAGAGTTTCTTATCTCACCAGTAAAGTAATTAATAATTATAAAGTTAAAACCAAACCAGAGTTTCTTATCTCACCAGTAAAGTAATTAATAATTATATAAAGTTAAAACCAAACCAGAGTTTCTTATCTCACCAGTAAAGTAATTAATAATTATAAAGTTAAAACCAAACCAGAGTTTCTTATCTCACCAGTAAAGTAATTAATAATTATAAAGTTAAAACCAAACCAGAGTTTCTTATCTCACCAGTAAAGTAATTAATAATTATAAAGTTAAAACCAAACCAGAGTTTCTTATCTCACCAGTAAAGTAATTAATAATTATAAAGTTAAAACCAAACCAGAGTTTCTTATCTCACCAGTAAATTAATTAATAATTATAAAGTTAAAACCAAACCAGAGTTTCTTATCTCACCAGTAAAGTAATTAATAATTATAAAGTTAAAACCAAACCAGAGTATCTTATCTCACCAGTAAAGTAATTAATAATTATAAAGTTAAAACCAAACCAGAGTTTCTTATCTCACCAGTAAAGTAATTAATAATTATAAAGTTAAAACCAAACCAGAGTTTCTTATCTCACCAGTAAAGCTAGATTGTTATCATCAAATGATGCGGTGGCAAACTTCACATTTGATTCAGGTACAGCCTCTTTCTGTAAAGGGCATGTCTCCAAAGTCCCCCTGATGTGTGTCAACACAATTACTAAAAATAGAAACATACGCCGAAGAGATAAGAAACAGTTACCGAAACGAAAAGGTACAAGTAGTGTTAATCAGCTGGATTTGTACGTATACCAAGACCAGGAAATGTAGACACATTGTATAAGTATTGAGTACTGGATTTAACAATGACTGGTATTGTACTGTTACATGATCGTAAATATTTAAGGCTGCAAAACAATTTCTGCTTGTATCGTTTTGTTTATTTGATAGTGTTCAAAGTTCAAACTCATGTTACAAATTTAAAGATAGTACTTTTAGATTACTCGAATTGGCAAAATAGAATGTTGCGTCAGTGTGTGGATTTCATTGTACATATCTGAAAGAATTTGCCAGGTTGCACTAAGATGAGAAGTACGTACCGTACCCGGCTTAAAGTACCGTACAACCACTTTAAAGTACGAAATTTTACTTGATAACCAATTTCATAAGTACGTACGGTACAGCTATTTTCAAAAGTACGTATGAAGTTCTCATCATAGAGGTTGCGCCCCTGTCTCCAATATCAGGATTCAGGATACCTGCATTACAGATATTTTGTCACAAATTATGGGGTGATATTTTACTAATTTCTACAAGATCACGAAAAAGTAAACAACCTTTTAGCATAAATAATGAAAATGAACAGCTTATCAATGAATATAATCTACAAATTTAAATCAACCCGGTGTACAATTTGGCGACAATGAATAACGGAAACACAAACATATTGTCAGCTAAAACCGGCATGTATAATATAATAAAATCTACGAAAAATCTTATTAATATTCACTGTTCTGATAACATCAATTCAATTTGTTGTCGAGAGTTATGATTCCCTTTTCCAAATTCCAGACTGTTTTAACGATGATTTAGAAATCATAATAAATGCGTCTCTGCATTTTCGGCTCACCCATCATGAGTTAGTTTTAGACAAAAGTTCCTTCTTCTTCTTTACCATATATTCTGAATACAATTGATAGGTGGTCCAACCTGCAGGCCCAAGGTTCTCACCATTCCCCCTTATCACAAGAATCAAAGTCCTCTTCAATCATGATTGTTATTCAGCAAATTTTAGTATATTGTATGAGTTTCCGGCCATTATGCGCCCCATCCTTTTACAGCTGCGAAGCAGAATTCTACAATACTAACTAGCAACTCCATGATTCTGTGGAGATCATTGAAAACTAGCAGCACAATATCACGACAACAGATTTCTGAGAGTAGACCTGATGTTCCTGTGCATGGTGCCATATATGATCACGTTGATGGACGAACTGATGAACGCCAGACAGACGCTGGAAAAGACGAACCGTTTAATTCCGATAGAGAGCATTCCTCTGTTTGTTAGGATGAGAACCTGCAGATAATGTCGGGTATAAACGGGTATAAACATTATTTTCACATTATCCTTTGTACAGTTATTAGTGATTAATTAAGTTATTAATTAAGCAATTAATTAAGTTATTAATTAAGTTATTAATTAAGTTATTTATTAATTTATTAGTTAAGTTATTAATTAGCCCCACGAAAAACCTCACCGAACCTCCACGCGGTGTGGGGTGGGTGGCTCGAACGGGAGGTGCATGGGTGTTTCTAACCTATGCAAAGGAAGGGACTAGCCATCTCTAGAACAAGGAAAGGCTCTAATAGCCTCTACTAACCTTAGAACCGCAGCATAACCGCTTTTCCCACAGGCAAATAACACCTTCCGCAGGAAACTAACACGCTCACAGGCCCCCACATGACGTGTAACCCCAGGATTTGGTTTTGGATCAGACACTGAAAACAACGATAGAGGAGCGGTCTACACGCTCACAGGCTACCATGTCTCGTGTAACCCCAGGATTTGACACGCTCACAGGCTACCATGTCTCGTGTAACCTTAGGATTTAAACACGCTCACAGGCTACCACGTCTCGTGTAACCCTAGGACCCTAACACTTAACAGACTCTAACACGCTCACAGGCTTCCACGTCTCGTGTTCCCTAGGATTTGGTTTTGGATCGGACACTGAAAACAACGATAGAGGAGCGGTCTATACACTCACAGGCTACCATGTCTCGTGTAACCCCAGGATTAGACACGTTCACAGGCTACCATGTCTCGTGTAACCCCAGTATTTGGTTTTGTATCGGACACTCAAAACAACGATAGAGGAGCGGTCTACACGCTCACAGACTACCACGTCTCGTGTAACCCCAGGATTTAACACGCTCACAGGCTACCAAGTCTCGTGTAACCTTAGGATTTAACACGCTCATAGGCTACCACGTCTCGTGTAACCCTAGGACTCTAACACTTAACAGACTCTAACACGCTCACAGGCTTCCACGTCTCGTGTACCCTAGGATTTGGTTTTGGATCGGACAGTCAAAACAACGATAGAGGAGCGGTCTACACGCTCACAGGCTACCATGTCTCGTGTAACCCCAGGATTTTACACGTTCACAGGCTACCACGCGACGCCTCGTGTACCCTAGGATTTTGTTTTGGATCGGACACTCAAAACAACGATAGAGGAGCGGTCTACACGCTCACAGACTACCACGTCTCGTGTAACCCCAGGATTTAACACGCTCACAGGCTACCAAGTCTCGTGTAACCTTAGGATTTAACACGCTCACAGGCTACCAAGTCTCGTGTAACCTTAGGATTTAACACGCTCACAGGCTACCATGTCTCGTGTAACCCTAGGATTTAACACGCTCACAGGCTACGACGTCTCGTGTAGCCCTAGGACTCTAACACTTAACAGACTCTAACACGCTCACAGGCTTCCACGTCTCGTGTACCCTAGGATTTGGTTTTTGGATCGGACACTCAAAACAACGATAGAGGAGTGGTCTATAGTGACGTTACAGGAACATTGCATACTCCTACGAGTTGCATGTAGCAGGCCATGACCGTCCCTGGAAGTCCCTGTCTCCTCATCGTTAACCCGTAAGGGGTTGCACCAGGGGCGGTGGTAACAGAACTTCAAGACTCTCGGAGTCTGTTGTCGATATCTATGTATAATATAATTATGGTATATAACTTGGGAGTCTCTCTCTCTAGCAGCAGGAGTTGGAGAATGGGGACGCGTTGTGAAAGCCACCGCAAGGAAGGCTTACAGTCGACGCCGACCAATCAAAAGAAGAAAAGAAGTTATTAATTAAGCTATTAGTTATTAATTAAGTTATTAATGATCGAGGTTTATAAATCATGATCAACCCACTCAAGAGAGCGAAAAACATGTAATAGTACCTTCATATTATGAGCAAAATAGCTTGTTTTATACATAACACTAACCTGACTAATAATAAAAGGACTGAAGCATATGAAGAATGAAAAGTAAACCACAACTGTAGTTCGAGCTATTTTCTGTTGATATCTGCAGGAGATTGGTTATCAGGAAAGGGGAGGGTACGGGTTCACATTTATTAGTCAATAGTCATTACAATTGTCATTACTATTAGAGAAACCTTCTTTATATTATGACCATTGGACAAATTTATTTTTCGTAACCAGTCATCATATTAGCCGGCGATCAAAAATGACTGTAATGATATCTTGACCATAACCAAATTCTATGCTGACCATTATTATTGCATGTTATTCAAACGGACAAATTTCCACCCCAGTTTCAAATCGAGTTTAAAGACTCACTTGCTCATTTTGCTGTACGCATTTGAAGCATGTGACAGTCGTTTAAGTTGATGCATGACAGAGTTAGTGACTGCAGTGGACATCTTCCTAGCGCCATCCTTTATTGCCGCTGCTGACTCCTCCGTCCACGACCTGTAGGGGATACTGGTTTTGCAGTTCAGGTCACCCTTATAAACATTCTCTTTCACTATTAGTACTAATAGTAATAATAAACAGATTACTCCTCCGTCCAGGACCTGTAGGGGATACTGGTTTTGCAGTTCAGGTCACCCTTATAAACATTCTCTTTCACTATTAGTACTAATAGTAATAATAAACAGATTACTCCTCCGTCCAGGACCTGTAGGAGATACTGGTTTTGCAGTTCAGGTCACCTGCACCCTTATAAACATTCTCTTTCACTATTAGTACTAATAGTAATAATAAACAGATTACTCCTCCGTCCAGGACCTGTAGGGGATACAGGTTTTGCAGTTCAGGTCACCCTTATAAACATTCTCTTTCACTATTAGTACTAATAGTAATAATAAACAGATTACTCCTCCGTCCAGGACCTGTAGGGGATACTGGTTTTGCAGTTCAGGTCACCCTTATAAACATTCTCTTTCACTATTAGTACTAATAGTAATAATAAACAGATTACTCCTCCGTCCAGGACCTGTAGGAGATACTGGTTTTGCAGTTCAGGTCACCCTTATAAACATTCTCTTTCACTATTAGTACTAATAGTAATAATAAACAGATTACTCCTCCGTCCACGACCTGTAGGGGATACTGGTTTTGCAGTTCAGGTCACCCTTATAAACATTCTCTTTCACTATTAGTACTAATAGTAATAATAAACAGATTACTCCTCCGTCCAGGACCTGTAGGGGATACTGGTTTTGCAGTTCAGGTCACCCTTATAAACATTCTCTTTCACTATTAAATATTAATACTAATAGTAATAATAAACAGATTACTCCTCCGTCCAGGACCTGTAGGGGATACTGGTTTTGCAGTTCAGGTCACCCTTATAAACATTCTCTTTCACTATTAGTACTAATAGTAATAATAAACAGATTACTCCTCCGTCCAGGACCTGTAGGGGATACTGGTTTTGCAGTTCAGGTCACCCTTATAAACATTCTCTTTCACTATTAGTACTAATAGTAATAATAAACAGATTACTCCTCCGTCCAGGACCTGTAGGGGATACTGGTTTTGCAGTTCAGGTCACCCTTATAAACATTCTCTTTCACTATTAAATATTAATACTAATAGTAATAATAAACAGATTACTCCTCCGTCCAGGACCTGTAGGGGATACTGGTTTTGCAGTTCAGGTCACCCTTATAAACATTCTCTTTCACTATTAGTACTAATAGTAATAATAAACAGATTACTCCTCCGTCCAGGACCTGTAGGGGATACTGGTTTTGCAGTTCAGGTCACCCTTATAAACATTCTCTTTCACTATTAGTACTAATAGTAATAATAAACAGATTACTCCTCCGTCCACGACCTGTAGGGGATACTGGTTTTGCAGTTCAGGTCACCCTTATAAACATTCTCTTTCACTATTAGTACTAATAGTAATAATAAACAGATTACTCCTCCGTCCAGGACCTGTAGGGGATACTGGTTTTGCAGTTCAGGTCACCCTTATAAACATTCTCTTTCACTATTAAATATTAATACTAATAGTAATAATAAACAGATTACTCCTCCGTCCAGGACCTGTAGGGGATACTGGTTTTGCAGTTCAGGTCACCCTTATAAACATTCTCTTTCACTATTAGTACTAATAGTAATAATAAACAGATTACTCCTCCGTCCAGGACCTGTAGGGGATACTGGTTTTGCAGTTCAGGTCACCCTTATAAACATTCTCTTTCACTATTAGTACTAATAGTAATAATAAACAGATTACTCCTCCGTCCAGGACCTGTAGGGGATACTGGTTTTGCAGTTCAGGTCACCCTTATAAACATTCTCTTTCACTATTAGTACTAATAGTAATAATAAACAGATTACTCCTCCGTCCACGACCTGTAGGGGATACTGGTTTTGCAGTTCAGGTCACCCTTATAAACATTCTCTTTCACTATTAGTACTAATAGTAATAATAAACAGATTACTCCTCCGTCCACGACCTGTAGGGGATACTGGTTTTGCAGTTCAGGTCACCCTTATAAACATTCTCTTTCACTATTAGTACTAATAGTAATAATAAACAGATTACTCCTCCGTCCACGACCTGTAGGGGATACTGGTTTTGCAGTTCAGGTCACCCTTATAAACATTCTCTTTCACTATTAGTACTAATAGTAATAATAAACAGATTACTCCTCCGTCCAGGACCTGTAGGGGATACTGGTTTTGCAGTTCAGGTCACCTGGTGTTGCTAATTTAATAAGGGTGCATTTTATGGAAATGTGTCATGATTATGGGACAACATGACGGATGGAAAATATGCCATTGTTAATCATAGATTTATTAAATGTCGACCATTTGTTAAATGTAGACTATCTTCGATTTTCACGTATGAAAAGACATAGTAGTAAAGATATTTAAGACGGTGCCATGTGTTATTATGTATCATACCCTCGTCTCGATGAGTCATAAGAGTCTGTTTTAAATCGCGGCAGAGGGGAGGGGTTGACGGAAAGACCTGTTCTCTTGTACATGTCCTGTATATTAGTGGTCCTCCTGTCCAGTACAGGTGACGGTCTGGGGAGATAGGTGTGTAGTGTTAGTAACCATGGCAACACTGGTAGTGTAACTGTATAAGAGATAGATTTGTAGTGCTTACAAAACTTATGTAAAATTATATTTATAGAGTTATTTAAGAGTTATAACTTATTTATATAACTTATTTAAGAGTTATAACTTATTTATATAACTTATTTAAGAGTTATAACTTATTTATATAACTTATTTAAGAGTTATAACTTATTTATATAACTTATTTAAGAGTTATAACTTATTTATATAACTTATTTAAGAGTTATAACTTATTTATATAACTTATTTAAGAGTTATAACCTATAATATAGCTTATGTAAATAAAAGTGTAAATGACAATTATAATTGTTTACTTCTAGAACAGTGCGTTTGTAAGCACTAAGTGCTGCTTTGAAAGTTTTCATTAGATAATTACAAGTTCTATGCAGATTATCTATCTAAACTTACGTTGAGTTGTCTGATTCGAAGTTGTTGTTATTGTTGTTGTTGTTATTGCCATTGTTAATGTTGTTGTTGTCGTTGTTAGGTTTGAGTGGGATATCATCACAGTGCTTGGTAACCGCTGGTAGCTCTATATAATCGTCATCGCTTGACTCGTTAGACTCACAGTTGTCCACTTTTATTCCTATACCACTCTGAAGATTGCTCTTATCAGGAAAGGAATTACTCAACGTTTCAATGTTACAACATCATATCAATACAAATTTACACAAGAATACATTGCAACCATGCGACTCATAAACAATATTCCTATCCGGATTTTACACTACTAGAGTACTAGGACGGCGAGACTAAAATCCTGCAGCAATTTCAGCCGACAGAAAGTGGTTTAGTAAAATATTTGGCCGTGTAAAAAAAGATTCTGACATTGTCTAATGTCAATGTAAAATGTACATTGTAAAGCTAAAAATGTCCATTTCTCAACTTATAATTGACATCACTCACGTCCTTTTGTGCCCCGTATCCCCGTGACTTGTCCAAAACTGAGCCGCTTTTTCTCAGAGACCTGGATGTGCTTCTCATGAACTTTTTTATCGTGTTCCCCATCCTGAACCAGTTAGAATTTATTGTTACCCAGTTAGAATTTATTGTTACCCATGCAAAGATAAACCACACTTATTGTATCCTATTCTGAATCGCTATCACACGTATTTAATTAGTGACTGCTCATGGTTAAGCCAAATAAGGTTTTCATTTGCAGCGCAAGAATATTAGATATAAACGTGAATATAACCGAATTCTGGCACTCACTGTTTAGGCTTTAAAACTTTATTCGCTATTTTTAAGTAGCAGAATGTCATCACTGAGAGAGGTGTGAGGAAATTGACAATTACATCAATTGCCATGAATATCTGAAAATGGAGAGAATTAAATATTTGTTGAGATTCCGAAACCTTAAATAGCTGAATTAATTAGGAGATTATAAAATTCAAGAAAATTCTTCTAATGGCTGCTCAGACATGGCTTTTAGTTGGGAGTCTAGTTATCGAGCTAAAGTAAAGAAACATGTGGTCACTCTACATAAGTCTACAGTAGTAAAGTGATCGCGGGGTCATTCGTAATGTAATGCTGTAATAGCACCACCAGCTGAAGGAGTATCACATTACCTGCTCACATTTCACAAGAGTTTTAAACCTCAACAAGATAAAGAACAGACATTAGATCTGCAATTATAGTGTGTACCTTGTGCGTGTGGGTTTGTAGGTTAGTCTGTATGGTGCACATGTTGTGTCCTACACTGAACACGTAGAGCTGGTCTGACTTTAAGTGGCCCACTATCACTGGTAACTGAAACAGTTGGATGTGTTAATGGTATATTTCAATCATGGCAGTCATCACCTGACATGTATATAACTATATAACTAAAGAAGTCTTTTGAATTCTTAGCCTGATTGAAAGAAGTTTCCGGTACTCAGAAAGTGTGTAAATCGAGCTTCCTGTGACGTGATTACAAAACAAATCATCAGAACTACATTTAGGAAGTAAATTTTAGATGTTGTTGTAATTTTACTTCACAAGTCACAGCACAGTATTCGCTTGAGTTTGCCCACTAGATTTGCGTTTTATTTGCAGCATTCTTTTATTGTGCCATTTTTAAAATTTAATCTAGAGCATTCCTAAAAAATTCCTATATTTTAGTATTTTGAGGTCGGCTTGCGGCAAAAATTAGTACGGATAATTTTTATGTAGCTGCTTACGAATCTAACTGAGCTTGATGCTTTGATAAGGGCTCCAATGCAGCTCTAGCTTATAGTGGTCATCTTGACCATAACCACAACCTCATACGAAGAAGATACTTCGATATAAAGCCGTAGTACATACATTTACTGGGCCGCGCTCAGCCTGTCATTCCGCCAAATCTTTATTCATTATATGTTAATGAACATAATAGCCTGGGGTCCTCAGGTAATACATACATATTACATTACACTGGATCGAGCTTACACAGTGTAATTTCCTCCAGTCTGCACCGCGCGCCTATATAAACGTACGCGGCGCAGACTGGAGGAAATTACCCTGTGTAAGCACCAGTGTAATGTAATATGTTTGTACTACGGCTTAAGATTACTTAGATATAATTGAAACTGTGTCAGTGCATCACTTCTCTGCCTCATTTATACGACACAACCCCAATAAATACCAAATTTGCTCATTCCATAGCGAGTTTCATCACTCAATAATGGTAACTTAACACTCTCTTCCTTGCAGCTTCATTTTTTATTGTTTTGGTCAGCTGGTGTGACTCCCAGAGCAACATGGTTAACATTACACATTTTCAAATATTTTACTTCTAGGTCCTTACGAAGGCAATGGCAGGCCTACAAGTCATAGGAGCTGGGCTTGGTCGAACAGGAACTCTCTCAATGAAATTAGCTCTAGAAGAGTTGGGTTTCAATCCTTGCCATCATATGGCTGAAGTAATGCTGGTCCATACGGACCGAAATCACATGTTAAAGAAGATATACCAAGAGGAAGACAACATTGATGCAATCAAAGAGTTGTTTGGTGGCTACGTGGCCGCGGTGGATTACCCAGGATGCATGTTTTACGAGGAATTTATGAAAATAAATCCAGATGCCAAAGTAGTTTTGACAGTAAGAGACTCACCTGAAGCGTGGGCTAAATCAGCTAGAGAAACCATCTTTATGTTGAACACAGTGCAATCTTGGCTCAAGTGGAAAATTATGATATTTGTTCAAGTGGCTTTGAATCCTCATATGTATTGGATTCAACAGATGATGGTCAAAGTTCACGGAGTCGCTCCTAATGAACGAAAAACAGATCTAGCTCAGATGTACACAGACTGGAACAAAAGAGTTATTGAAACTGTGCCTGCTGAAAAACTCTTGATATTCAATGTGAAGGAAGGATGGAAGCCACTGTGTGATTTTCTTGGGGTTCCAGTTCCTGATACACCGTTTCCCAGGGTGAACAGTACTGCTAATTTTAAGGAGATGAAGGGTGCACATATGAAAAAGAAGATGGGCGTCCTTCTCTTGAAATTTGTGTTGGTTGTAATTTCCATCGGTGCCGGAGCAGCTGTTCTGCTGACCCACTTTTGATGAGAAATTCTAAAATCATGCATTTGTCATACTCATAATAGTTTTAGTTTGTTGATAATCGCTCCCTTTTTAACCTAAATTTTTCCGAAACTTTAACCTGTTCAAATGATGGATGTTACATGTCTGAACTTTCGTTACGTGATTTACAAATGTATTGAACAAAAATTGATTTTATTTCCATAATTATTTTCTATCTTTTGACGCAAGTAAATATCAAGACGCACACCCCGAGTCCACTTTTAAATTCTCATGAGTCATTTTCCAGACTAGCTCAAATAACAGAGAGAACCATTATGACTCATAATATGACTTTATGACTCATAATATGAGTGCAATTTAATAAATTAGTGCAGGTATTCGCCGTCTAATTACTAATATTTGACTGGATAACCAATGGGAGTTGTGATGTTCCAATGAGCAGGACTAGACCAATTTGGCCAATCACAACGTCTCCTCTTTTTGTAAACCATAACTATGTCTCGACCTTCACAGTATGACTTTGGTAAATTTAAACATTCCCGGTCCTTGACCTTGGATGTCAAGTTTCGGACAAGAGAACCGGTCCTTTTTAAACTTGAAATATAAAATAAGTATTTAATTTTTTTAAGAGGGGAACTCACAGTGCACCAACAGATACAGTAGGACCATATTGTTGTAAAGTAGTATTGTTAGGTTCTCGGATAAATTAACTTTGTTTACGGCGGAATATGTAATATTAGGAGGGTTGCGTTTAAAGTATTTAGGAGCACTTTATTTGTAAAATGTTTGGTAATAAAGGGACCGTTACACATTTCCGGGTAGTGCGACATTTCGTGTAATAGTTTAAACTGTTTAACAGTTGGTTTAGTATTTAGAAAGTTTTGGTTTGTATTTCATTTTACACGAGTTGACTGTATTTGGTTGACTGGCAAACCTGCTGTCAGACATTACTGCCATATTGTGGTTGGCCGCGCTTGTGCACCTGACTTACAGCTAGGCCTGTGGTTGGTTCTCGCGACCACAGGGTGACTGTCAGTGGAGTGCTCAGCGTCTAGACAGTGTCTAGACGCTAGTGCAGGCTGGCTGCGTTAGGCCGACACGCGTTGTGGCGTGACGTAAGTTTTGGGAGCATATCAGGAGAGCCGGAAGTGGAGAGCTCACTTCTTAGTTGCCCCTTAATCATTTTAAGGGATTCGAATTGACGATAGCCAGTCTGACTGAGCACTATCTTTTGTGATTAGACACGTCGAGTGATCTATAGTCACGTCAATCGTTTGGAGCGAACACTTAGAAGTTTTATCTGTTGACGTTCACTTTGTATTACTTTTCCATTTAATTAATTATCCATTTTAATTTACTCGTTTCCTTTCTACTATACGGTACGCCCTGCCGTTCGTGATTCGTGACTAGAGCTTGACTAGCATACACTAAATACCTAGAACTCGGTTTTCTATATCTGGAGGCCACGGTGGGATCCGAAGGGAAGTAGAGAGTTGATCATAGTCCCCGAATCCTTGCATGAATCTGTCCTGGACATGGTGCACAACCAGGAGACCGCACATGCTGGAGTAGAAAATTGTCTTGAGGTCTGTAAACGACATTTCTACTGGCCGAAAATGGGTGAATGTTTCAAATTGTGGATCGCAGCGTGTTGCAAGTGTGCAGCAAGTAAGCCACCTCAGGCGTACAATAAGGCACCCCTCAAGCACATATTATTCCACTCCTTTAACTCAGCAATTTGTTTCGATCATATAGTTCCTGAGAAGGTTGGTGCTACACCTAGAGGTTATAAATATATTTTGACTATAACTGATTGTTGGTCAAATTATGTGGTAGCTATTCCTACTAAGACCCAGACAGCTAAGGAGAGCGTGTCCTTGATTCGTAGGTTTTGGATTGATCGTTTTGGCCAGCCTAGGTTCATGATGGCTGATAATCATCCGGGGTTTAGAGCTAAGTATTTCGAGACCATAGCTCAAGCATTAGATTGCAAGTACATTCATGGCCAACCGTACGTTTCTCGTAGTACAGGTAGAGTTGAGAGAGCTAACCGTCGGTTGAATACTGCACTGAGAACCAGCTTACCACCGGGACGCTACCAGGATTGGGATCTTTGGTTATCTAGAGTAGTCTTTGTACTCAACTCATTGCGGAATCGGCACACAGGTTATTCTAGCAACAGGTTGGTGTTTGGTCGTGAGTTAAACACACCGTTAAGCCTGCTAGCTGAGAATCGTAAGGATTTCGAGCTAGAGCCTATGAAGGAGAATGAGTTTGATGTTGAAGCATACGAGCTGTACAAGAATCTCAAGTTTATCACCAGGAAGGTGAGGGTCCAAGCTGAGCGTGATTTTTGCTATGCACAGAGATATCACGATAAACACGTTAAGGGACCATTCTTTGAGGAAGGTGAGGAAGCTTTTGTTTTGATAAATTGTCCTAAGCACAAGTTCGGTCCCCGTTGGGTTGGCCCGTATAAGATCTCTAGGAAGATAAACGATCACTTGTACTGTCTAGATTTGCCTGATGGAGAGAAGAAGGTGTTTAACATTGGTAAGTTAAAACGATATGTCAGGAACAGATTTTCTAAGAAACTAGAGACTAGTCCAACAGTGCCGAAAACTGTGAGCAAGGGAGCTGAGTTGAAAATGGAATCATCGGACCGATTTGTAGATTATTCCGATAGTGACAGTGAAGAGGAGATAGATTTTCAACTGAGAAGAGCACCAGTTGTAGCAAGGAGAAGAGAGGTTCATCCGAAGAGGTTTCGTCCGGAGAGGGATGGTGCAGCTAGCATTTATAAACAACCTAGTTTAAGTTCCACTCCTAGGGTTGTAAATAGTCCTGTACAACTAGATATGAATTCTACTAATCCTAGTTTTAGTACTGTAACACCTCTCACACATAACATTCCCTCAGGCGATAGTGTAGAAACAGTTGATAATTCTGCAGAGTTCTTTACTCCAGCTAGAGAGAGATCGGCCGCTAGAAGATCATCGAGTCCGATTGTTAGTGAAGGAACGATAGGTGCTAACAGTTTTAGGTCACATGATGCTGAGGAGCACGACATTGACACAACAGGATCGCTTTCTCCTATAGATCTAGGGAGACAGAGCCCTCCGAGGGAGGAGCGCAGATATAACACTAGGAGACCTGAGGAACGGAGAGAACCTGAACGTCTAGGAATCGATAAAGTTAGACTTGTTACGGATGTTCTTATGAAGCTCTTGAACCAGTAGAAGTCGGGGAGATGCCCGGTTAGGGAAGTAACTAATACCTTGGAATCTAGTCTAGTACAGTAATATCTTACGCACTTAGCTAGGCTTTCCTCTTAGTACTTAGCGGTGATATTAGTACCTTACTTAGGCTTAACACGTGTATCTTTCAGAACAGTACTGATAGGGATATTAGGATTGTGCCTCGCAACACGAACCGTTCAGGGCTGCCATTTTGATATGTCGATAATTTCTTTTAGTTTTAGTTATTTCAACTCCTTTCACGTTGATCCTTTTACATTTTACTAGTAAGCAGTTTGGTTTTCTACTTTTAGATAAAAAGTTTTCTTAGCTTTATTTTAGTTTTTTTTTTTTTTAGCCACTAATCCTAGTTTCCCCCTCCAGACCATGAGCAGCCCCGAGTTTGAAGGTTTGGATTTCACGGACGATCAGAAGATAAGGATGGAGAAGATAGAGGAGGAGAAGGCGAGACTCAGGCGGAAACTGGATCGCATCACAAGGAGGATCGAGAAGCTTCAGCGACGCAAGGAGATTCGATCAAGCGGCAAAACCCCCCTCAAGATGCCGAACTGGGAGCATTTGGACACAGCCACCTTCCCTGCCACGAAGGGAGCCATCAACCTACTCCTCCAATACCCTAGTCTCAATGAGTGGGTAAAGCAGTTGGTGGATGAGACTGTAGGGAACTTTTTGAAGAATAAGGATGCACAGGAGGTACTGAAACAGATGAGGGTGATACGTGACAAGTTGATGTCCAGCAGCACGACCATCTGTGGGAGAAGAAGGGCAGTTTTCCAGAACTCTCGAGAGTACCAGTGGGCGAAGATCGCCAACAGGCGAGCAGTCGCGGTGAGATTCAGCACGGCAATCCGCAGGATGGGCGAGATTCGCGAGAATTCGTCCAACACGCGACTTCAACGGGCACTGGACAGCCTGGTGAACCTCAGAAACATGGAGAGGACTTTCTGAGGATTCCTTCTTTCTGTTTTGATATTTTATTGTATTTATTTATTGTGATTCACGAGTTTCATTGTTTAACTTCAAATTTGTTACTTGAATAATATTTTTAGATTTATGTTTTGATTTTGTATTCCCCTTTCACCTTCTATTACCTCCCTTATCCGCTTGTCTAACCTTCTATCACTTTTCTAGTTACAAGCATGTCTTCTTCAAAAGACCTTATGAGAGCCGTGAGTGCAATAAGTAGTGCCTACACGGACGATTTGAAGGAGCTAGATGATCTAAGGAAGCGCCTCAGGAGAGCGGAGAGACGGATTAGAGACCTGACCGTGGAGCTGGAATATTTAGCGGACCAGCAGGCGACCAGGATGGATACTCAGCCGGCGCCCCCGCCATACTTCCACAGCCCCACCTCCCCCAGCACGGAGCCTTACAGCAGCCCCCAGTAGCTCGGACTGAAGGACGATTGTGTCTCTGGTTGTCTTCTCATTGTTTTTAAATATTGATTTTATTCATTTCGTTATTTTTATTTATTTTTATTTAAAGTGTTTTACTTGTACTCATTCGTATGGAATGGAAATGAAGATCTAAAGGAAAAAGATCTAAATGGAAGGGAGAAAGACGGGGAATAGGTGAGTATTGTAAATTATGATATTGGATTTGGAACAGGGTTAGGCGTTTAGTTTTAAGGTTCTTTCGGCTTTTTATTTTAAGGCGCGCAGGGCCGTGCTAGGGAGTAGGGTTAAATTTAAATAGGTTGTGCAGCGTAAAGACTGTTGGCGAATTTTTAAAGGGTTTTAAATATTCGGAAAAAATTTTGGGTAGAGATGTTGTAAAGTAGTATTGTTAGGTTCTCGGATAAATTAACTTTGTTTACGGCGGAATATGTAATATTAGGAGGGTTGCGTTTAAAGTATTTAGGAGCACTTTATTTGTAAAATGTTTGGTAATAAAGGGACCGTTACACATTTCCGGGTAGTGCGACATTTCGTGTAATAGTTTAAACTGTTTAACAGTTGGTTTAGTATTTAGAAAGTTTTGGTTTGTATTTCATTTTACACGAGTTGACTGTATTTGGTTGACTGGCAAACCTGCTGTCAGACATTACTGCCATATTGTGGTTGGCCGCGCTTGTGCACCTGACTTACAGCTAGGCCTGTGGTTGGTTCTCGCGACCACAGGGTGACTGTCAGTGGAGTGCTCAGCGTCTAGACAGTGTCTAGACGCTAGTGCAGGCTGGCTGCGTTAGGCCGACACGCGTTGTGGCGTGACGTAAGTTTTGGGAGCATATCAGGAGAGCCGGAAGTGGAGAGCTCACTTCTTAGTTGCCCCTTAATCATTTTAAGGGATTCGAATTGACGATAGCCAGTCTGACTGAGCACTATCTTTTGTGATTAGACACGTCGAGTGATCTATAGTCACGTCAATCGTTTGGAGCGAACACTTAGAAGTTTTATCTGTTGACGTTCACTTTGTATTACTTTTCCATTTAATTAATTATCCATTTTAATTTACTCGTTTCCTTTCTACTATACGGTACGCCCTGCCGTTCGTGCTTCGTGACTAGAGCTTGACTAGCATACACTAAATACCTAGAACTCGGTTTTCTATAATATCACAAAAATGATAATGAAACTCCTCTTCTCCGACATTATGCTAGGGTATCGTACCGCGTGTATCACAGCCAGGTATCTATCAATCGCTACTGCTGTCATTCCTGCAGTGAACATAACTGTTGTATAATCAAGAGGCTTACATATGAAAATATTGACATGGGTGTAGAGTTGAGCCTGTACGGAACCTAGTAGTTTCAGTTCCTTGTTTAACTTGCCGTACAGCAAGGACATTCACTACTTTAGCCTGGCGAGGCACATAGCTCACTCCACAACTCCGTGTCAAATGTTTCGAGGAATTATCATTATCATTATGATAGATTGTGATACTTATGATAATTGTCAATATCATCACATAAACTATTGTAAATTAGCATGATTGTTGCATACTTCAAATTATCATAACTTGCTACTTGACATGCACTGCTCGGCTCTATCATTATCTTATAGTGGCCGACTGACACATACTTAGTAGTTTGTTGTACCTCATATTACATTAAAATTTGCCAAAGTCATATCATGGTATTTTGATAAACCAACCAAACGTACGCAATAAAGATACAAAAACACCAAGAAAACACTCTCATTTCTTACCTGCTACGACGATCCTAAACGCAAAGGAGTCTGTAACCCCTACCCCGGAACACACGTGATTATTGGCAAGTATCCAAGGGTCCCTCTTGGCGAGGGTTATCAGGAAGAAGAAGGGTAGCTTTAGTCCTAGGATCAAGTCACACAACGCAAGGTTCGTAAGGAATCTGGGGGTATTGGTTGGGTTGTGAGAATCTGGGGGTATTGGTTGGGTTGTGAGAATCTGGGGGTATTGGTTGGGTTGTGAGAATCTGGGGGTATTGGTTGGGCTGTGAGAATCTGGGGGTATTGGTTGGGTTGTGAGAATCTGGGGGTATTGGTTGGGTTGTGAGAATCTGGGGGTATTGGTTGGGTTGTGAGAATCTGGGGGTATTGGTTGGGTTGTGAGAAGCTGGGGGTATTGGTTGGGTTGTAAGGAATCTGGGGGTATTGGTTGGGTTGTGAGAATCTGGGGGTATTGGTTGGGTTGTGAGAAGCTGGGGTATTGGTTGGGTTGTGAGAATCTGGGGGTATTGGTTGGGTTGTGAGAATCTGGGGGTATTGGTTGGGTTATGAGAATCTGGGGGTGTTGGTTGGGTTGTGAGAAGCTGGGGGTGTTGGTTGGGTTGTGAGAATCTGGGGGTATTGGTTGGGTTGTGAGAAGCTGGGGGTATTGGTTGGGTTGTGAGAATCTGGGGTATTGGTTGGGTTGTGAGAATCTGGGGGTATTGGTTGGGTTGTGAGAATTTGGGGGTATTGGTTGGGTTGTGAGAATCTGGGGTATTGGTTGGGTTATGAGAATCTGGGGGTATTGGTTGGGTTGTGAGAAGCTGGGGGTATTGGTTGGGTTGTGAGAATTTATAACTTTAGAATAATGTTGGAAATTGAAATGAATGTTATGACTTGACTTTAATATTGTCTCAAGATGCTCTAAGTTTTTAGGCGAAAAAAGAATTTTTCCCTCATTTTTAATTTATTTTTATTCTTTTAATTAAATTTTTTAAATCAATTGTCACCTAACACTATATGACCAAAATATATTTGACTAGGGAGTCGAAAAACTTCATTTTTAAAGATAAGTAAATTAGAGACATATAAGCTAAAAGGTTAAGGGATGCACAATTATTAATCATCCGATTCCATACCAGATTCTTTAAATACCGTACAATTACATTTAATTGGCAAGCTTCCCTCTACTTACAGGTTCATTCATTTAAACCAGGCAGTCGTAACGATATTTCACTCAAAATTTTCGTAACCATAGTAACGATATTTCACTCAAAATGTTAACAGACAAAAGACTTGCATCTTCGCTTCTCTTAGTTAAACTGCTATATAACTGTACATCATCTCATTTTATTATCCTTAATAGTTCAATCGTCCTTCCATTAATCTGTCCATAGGCGATTTTATTTGATTCAATAGTTCCACTATGAAAAACTAGTTTATATCAAATTGTCAAATCTTGATAAAAACTTCTTCGCTAGCCATTATAGCCTTATGGTTTACACTGTCCTTATACGCGAATAATGTGATTCCACCGATCATGGATGAAGGAATTGCAATGTGTTTCATCCCACAAGGAATCCTGAGGCTATGCAATCGTTTCTCCTCCCTCTCAATAACCTCAATTTGACCCAGAACATTCATTTGTCTCCACTCAGGGAAGTTTTTCAGTATATCGTAGTTAAGACCACGTTGTAACCGGCCTAACACCTCATCTCGTGGTATCAGCACCACTGATTCGCTCTCTATGCGCTGTTTAAAGTGTTCCGCTTTCATCTTGGAGATTGGGTTAGATAGATGGATTCCGTGGTAGCTAACAGCGTATATCATGTGATGGTGCCAATCTTTGGGTAAACAACTCCTTTCTTCTTCTGACACATTCCTGACTGACTTCTGATAGTTGAGTGTGGCCAGAGGGACCACGCCCCTTTTCACCCAGCCAGCTAACCAGTACCGTATATCTACTCGTCTTTGTGGGTAGAACTCGAAAAAGCGTCCTGCTATTCTGTCGCTACTGAGGGTTTTCATAGCTTTGAGAATATCATAGTGCGTCATCCCATGTCGAGAGCATGACATGAGGTATTGTGGAAGAGGTGAGGTGTCGTCCTTCTTCCGATAAAACGACATCTTCTGGGCCTCCTCCATGGTGAGCTTGGGAGTGACACCCAGTGTCAACATGACCTGCCACACCCCAACTAGACCACTCTCTTCACATTTTGGTGAGCCGGCCTGCTTTTCCCGAGCTTGTGTTTCGTTCCATAGCTCGACAGGCTCAGCCTTTAGTTTCAACCAACCTTCCAGCTTATCAAAATCTTCTTTTTTTTATAAACTTTCCTGTAAGCTGGGTAAACGTTAGGGCAGGAGATGTGTTGAGCAGATCTCTGTCTCAATCTCTTTGTTAAAGACTGCAGAACAAGCAAACAAGTAGGACACTAACAAGGTGCTCTAGAGTAGAGTCCACTCAAATAATATAACGAAGTATACGCTTCAGAGCGTGCTCATTAAATGTAGCGGTGTTGTTTGTTACACGAGATGTATTTAACAGGACGGGAAACCACAGACCAATCACCTACAAGCAGCGATTGCCCACAACCAATCAAACTGCTGGATAAGCAGCTGAGCCTAACCACTTCCCACCAGTGCTGCATTGCGCATGTGTTTAAGCAAGGAGGAGGACACGTCCGACGACACGTCCAACGTTCAACGTAGTCGGTTTAGAATGCAGCACGAGACAAATTGTGTAATTTATGAAGGAGCAAATTGTCAAATATTTGACGTCGTGCAAGGTCGCCCCTTATGACGGTTATTTCATTGTCACGTGCATAAACTATTGGTTTAGTTCACGCTACTTTGCGCTGATTGCTTAAGTGTAGAACAATTGTCAGCGCAAGAAACGGGCATGCGATACGTACTTACTTACTTAGTTTTGTTGAGAATGCTTTTAATTTTGTTCATCAAGAATGTGTTTTTAATTTTTTCACCGAGAATATGTTTTTAATTTAGTTCCATATCTTTCGCGAAATTTCGCTGACCATTTATGATTTAGGACTTTGTTCGTTTTTCATACGACCGAACTATGCTAATAGTATATATACTCCAGGCTAAACACATGAAAGATGATTTAATAAGAGCTGTATAACTATAAGTAATACATGAGTAATAATAATGATAAGTAGTTTTCTATACTCTCCAACTTCTAACGTAATCAGTAGTGACTAGTGACTGTGAGTGTGAGGACCTTTTCAACTGTCAACCTCTGTCACATGTCTCACAAATACTAATATTATAATTGCCTGAGGCGCACTAAGAATTTGTCATAAAATGATTTTGTCAAAATTTTTGTGCAAAATTCATCTCAATGCCTTCAAGTTTAAAGCTAAGTATTTATCTTAAAATCTTGTCTAAATTTCCGTGCTCTCCACGCTTCAAAGTAAGGGGTTTGTCATAAAATCATGTCTAAATTTTCAAGGAAACTAGCTACAACATCTCTGTGCTTCAAACTTTCAAAGTAACTCCCGTAGTGTAATAACTGACGGGGTTTGTCCTCAATACTCAATAACACGCTGTGATTCAGTGAAGCTCAACCTACCTCTAGCCTCTCACTCTCTTATTGTCACACGTTAAGCGCAACCAAGACATCCGCACTGAGAGAAGTGACTTGTTGTCACATATTGTCACATATTGTCACTTATTGTCACATATTATGACATATTGACATATTTTCATTGGGCTGATATCTTAACGGTTAACGGAGCAAGAAATGTTGCACATGTTGGAATTTTGTGGTGTTTACTTCAATGGTCACAATAACTAATAATGATAAATTGCTATAATCATAGCTATAATAGCTATAATTGATAAATGTCCTAACTGTACTGACCACTGATCCATTTAATTGCACCTGCATGTGTTAGCTCTTAGGCCGGTTAAGGGGACATATCCTGTGTAGAGCGTCGTGATATGATTAATCATAAATAACTGGGTGTTCAATAATACCACAGCGCTATAACGGCTACAGCAGGGTGTCAGAATTATTGCAGCCGAAGGCTTCAAGTCCAACAATCCAAATTTTTCTCTTTCGTCGTGATTATCGACGAAATTTAACTTCTTTCGAATTCGGACTTTGTTTTTAGACTGAACTGTAGTATGAAGGATTATCTCTCAAATGATCAAGACTCCATAGGAAACTGACCCTCAGAAGTCAAGTAATGATCGTTTCTAAAAGCTTGGGTAAGCTAAAATTTTATGCAAAATTGTCTGCGCGCCAATAATTATGACACCCTGCTGTAGACGAAGATTAAATGATCCCGTAATAATATAATGTAAGTTACTCGGGATCTTAGACAGCTTGTAACGGATTGCTGAACTTTGATGATCAGAAATAGCTGCTTCAATTCCATTGAGTTTAATGAGCTTTCTTTGAGATTGTAAAAAGTACTGAAGTGAGCCTCTGCAGATGTACTAAACAGTCAACTTGGACAGTACAATTGTATTCATGCTGCTGTCTACAGCTTGGGTAGTGTAGTTCACAGTGCAGAACCCTGCTACAAGGTGTTCACAAAGCAGTGTTACTTTTTGAGAATACCCTATATAATAGTAACACATAATAATGTCAATATGTTAAATATCCAGCATATATATTTAGCATATAACGTCAGTATAGTCAGCACTTACATGTGAGGGGTTAGTCTAGCTACTCTCTTCATCCTCAGGAACAGTATGATCACTAATAGGTTACCTGCAAAATAGCCTCATTACAGGTGCACTTCTTAAACAGTTGGTGATGGCTTTTTGTTTGTAGTCGGTGTTGAAGAGGCTCACACACGCACACGTTTTATTGTCAACGGTGCGGGTTGTGTTGATATTTCTTTACTCAATCTAATGACTCTGTAGCCAATCAGCTCGATACTTTATTAATAGAATGAATATATTGCCTTTTATGCAATAAAGAAGGAATTTTTTCTAAAAATGCCATTGAAAGCTCGGACCTTAGGTATTGATTGAATATTCAACATGCCTAAATATTATATAATAGTTAATACATGTATTGTAAAACTGTCAGTACAAAGCAGCTTAAAAAAACTTTAACAGAACAACTAAAATTTTAAATAAAAAGTTGAATTTAAGTTAGATTTGAGTTAAATTTAAGTAAAAGACTCACCAGCTATTGCTATGACAGCGGCGGTGCACATGACTGCCACCACCAGGTACAGGTGGGTGGTGTTGTCCAGGTACGGGAATACTTCAACCTCGACATCTTCTGTCATTTCACCTTACTGACAATATCATACGTTAGTTTAAAGAGTTAAGTTGTAATAAATTATAATTATTGTATTAACAAAGACTACTGGCAACATCACGTTACTTCAAGGGGTGAACTATTAAAAAATTATTCTCGTATTAATAAATATAGGGCTTCAAAACATCTTACAGAACTATAAGTTGTAGGTTGGGAAATCAAAAACAAGAAAACAAGAAAACAAGAAAACAAGAGGTTTAAGAACTAAAACAAATGTATAAATATAAAGTAATGTCTGTTTAATTTGCGCATGAAATGATATCTAGACTCTATTGGACACGTACACGAACAACAAGAAAAAGCTTGCAATCCAGACATGGGATTCTTTAGGCTCAAACATAAGCTGTCACATTATGAAACTGGACATGCCAAATGTAAACATCAAAACGGCGAGAATGTTATTAAATATCAAAGCCTGACAAACTAAAATATGCACTTTAACAAATTAGACGGCTTGCTCTGACTGTTTATGTGTGATTTCTTTGATACGGAACGATCAAAAGTTTGATTATAATTAGGGGTTTTAATTTGATCAGCTTGTGATTAGTGGTGGCCTCTAGAATCTAGAGTCTAGATGTGGGCGTTTAGGCAAATGGATTGTAAGCTTTATTCTATTGCGAATGTAGCCAGATTCTAATACATCGACGAAGGATAAAGAGAACCATCGATATATTAGAATCGATATAGTAATAACTTAAAAGTTAAGAGCACTGTTAAGAGCGTCAAGAGAAACTATGCAGCGTGTAGTTAGTGCCACTAATGTGCTTAATTGATACATCGGATTGATAAAGGAGCTTAAATTGGAGTTGACGGCTAAATATAGCCGTCCTTCGCACAAAACTGAGACCTGGACTCGGTGATGGTTAACAGGTAATGATGCGAGACAGGACCAAATTTAAAGTTGTTTAAAAAAGACAGGAGACGGTCAAAAATGTCAAAAGGTTCAGGCAATTGGCTGGCACGTAATTTGCAGCAAATAGACTAATCGCTTAATTGTCACAAAACATATACTGCTGCTGTAATCAGTAAAGAGTAGAAAATCTGTAGGCTAGTGGAATGTGAAAAGCCAGAGTTGGGCTAACTGAGAACAATCCAGGAGGAGACATTCATTTTAACACCCACCAGCTCCTGCCATAACTTGGCTACCATGTGCACGACTTAATGGATTAATTCTCTTTCTGACGAATTATCAGCCAGCCTGGTAAGAACTAAGACCTGGTTAGAAAGTTCACTTCTATAAGTTTATTAGAGTTGTTGTTTTCCAGGAGGCGATGGTACCAGGCTGTCATGAGTTCTAACTTTATACGATGCTATTTAGATAGTAATATAGAGAAATAGGTCATGATATCCTTTATTAACTAATAGGTCATACATCCGGATCCCGATGGCACTGTCCAGGCACTCTCGTGGAACTATGGCGGCACTTTTAGAATCTGGATTGCCACGACAGTGCCACGACAGTGTCACGACAGTGTCACGACAGTGCCACGACAGTGCCACGACAGTGCCACGGCCCACGAGAGGGCCGTCGGGATCCGGATGTATGACCAACTAATAACTATTTAACGACACATCTTCGTGCATGTGTCAATAATCCTTAAATTCCTTCGCTAACTTATAATTTAGGGTAAAGTAATATAGTAAGGTAAAATAAAGTACGACAATAGATTAATGTTACGACTGTTCAGGAAGTTATTATGAGTGTGTCGTATTGGTAGCATTAAAAATAGATATTTATTTTCTGCTCTCAAAATATCTGGGCCCTGGTTAGTCTTCGGATCAAAGGATCTGGTCATTCTTTTTGGCCATTCCTAAGTTTTATAACTAATCAACATTTCAATAGAACGGAGAAACCACGAACAGAATGCTCCCTTTTTTCGGGAACAGGCTTGCCAGTTGCCACATAGGTCCGGTAGTCTTTTGGTGTAGGTGGTTTATGTGGCTAAGGGTCAAGGGTAGTAGCAGGAGGGTCATCAAATCCGAAAAGGCAGTCATGAGTTAATAGCACGTGTACTTGTAACTGTCTTCTCAATCTGGTATACGTTGTCTCAGTCTAGCTAATGTCCGCCACTCTTTCCTATCTCCTGCTGAAATGATCACGTCTCCGATGTTGGGGATTGATCCAGTAGCGGTCGTGTAGTCCTCTTTAACACAGTCGAGCCAAGACTTTAGAGGTCTACCTCTGGATCTTTTTCCATGTGCTGGTTTCCACTGGAGTAATTTATTGGGCATCTGTTCTTAAGGCATTCCTGTCACGTGTCCAAACCACCGCAGTCTGTTGCTAGAGATGAAGGTTGCAACATCTGTTTTAGCAGCACGCTGTAGCTAAAGGTACGAATGGCTAAAAAATATAAAAGACTAACCAGTAACCATGCCTCAAGATATAACAAAATGCGAGGGTCTAATTATCTAAGTGTGCTGCAAATTAAACAGTAAAAACAATAATAAATATAAGGAATAAATACCTTGACTGAAAAAGTGTGCTGAAGAAACGAGTGAAGAAAGAGAGACGATATAAACCCTACACGTGATACGACACGGTATGCTGAAAGAACGAGTGTCTCCCTTTACGAACTTATTAGATCATTAGTTAAAGTAAACTAATGTTAATAACCCAAACATCGCTCGACTAGCTCCGCCAAAGACTGCAAAAATATAAAGCATTTTACCCCATCTCAGCTGCTCTGCCTCTATACAGTTACAGCACCTTTTCTCAAACACAGAACATCATGGGAAACTGCTGAACGGAATGTAAGAAGTTTTTATGTACAGAGTTTCACAGATCACAGTCTGTACATTAAATAAACACTGTGCTGGACGGTCACCAAGTCGCAAAATTGCACCATTATAACAAACCCAATTATCTGAATTAGATCTTTTTTGAATTGTGTGACGGGACAACCCGAGACAGGTCGAATTACCTAGTTACAATTGAGTCAAAAAATTACTATTTTACCAACAGTTCTTTCTCAAGAATAAAGGTGTGGAGATTTCTAAATGTATTTTGGGACAGAAAACATTTGCTATGGCCTATGATTAGAAATGTAATATCAGATGGCGCAACACTATAGTTATAGGATTTCTTAGAAAATTGACAAATATTAAATGGGCATAACCATATTATGCTCAACGTTTTTATTCTGTAGATAGCATATATTATTATTCTAAAGATAGCATATATTATTCTAAAGATAGAATTAAATAGATCTATAGATAGAACAGTATTTTACTAAAAGTACTGTACTATATAACTAAACGTCATAATGTTTGTTATTAAAATTATTCCAAGAAGTGGTATTTAGCATTAAAGAAGTGGTTAATGTTTACAAAGCTGCTACAAAACGACAATTCCAACTATTGATGTCTAGGGCAGGTCAGACCAAATTGCTTGCTCGTGCAATAAGACCATCAACTGAAACCGACCTAGTGGAACGGTTGTAGATTTAATCTGCCCAGTCACAGGTGTAATTAATGAAATATTAGAATATTGGATCGAATTTAAATTAATGATGTGGTGGAACCTGTAGATCAAGGGTGGAACCTGTAGATGAGTGGTGGTGTGACCGACATATTTCTATTTGAAGGTGAGTGGTTGTATTTGTGTCAACTGTCCAACATACGCAATCACCGATCCAAATGAGCCATTATACATCCATGACAAAGGTCAAAGACCAAGCAATGTTTTCGATTGAATGAAGTAGACGATTGTTATTGTTGAGTTGTGGTCAATGAACTCTGGGTTTGTGTATAATAATAGCTTTGATAGTATTGTTATCAACAGTGTCGAACTTTATATTGAGTATGAATGGATTCATCGGATCATCGCAACAATAATGCATTAAGAATCAAAATGGGAGCGCACTATAAGTATGTATATCTCGCGATCAGCTGAATAATTTAGAGATCACATAGAAAACACGGTGTTATAGTAATCCAGATGCCCGGTAATTACAATTCAACAGACTCGTTCACATAACGAGGCTACCGGACAAATGTTAAAGTTCTGAGTTGTCAACAACAGGACAACGAACACTATGAATACCAAAATTATAACATTATGCAACATTGTACTACAGATTTATATAATACTGGCTATAAATAACAAAAAGTATGCTCGTAATTTCAAAGTATGCTCATAATTTCCCCGATCTGGGGATAGCCGAGTGATAAGCAAGCTTTACGCTCCTCGGGTAATGTCAAATGTGGACAAGTGTATAACTATAAGCAATATAAGCATTAGCTAACCTCCCACTCCCAAGAGTACAATCCCCCTTTATAATGGCCACAAAACATTGCCCTCTTAGGGTGAGCAAACTCATCCTAGTGTTCAGTAAGCTGCGCCTCATCAGTAATACTCATGAGTATGCTTACCATAAGTCGTTCACCAGGAGAACGAACGCAAAATGTAGGGGTCACATTTTGAGATTCAGTGCAGGTTTGAACAAGTTATAAATTAAATGAACTTTGTAATATATTAACAGCCTGATCCTACGCTCCGGTGTTCAACTTGCTGGACGGTATTACAGGACTCACACGACACGGTTACTACTTAGTTGTAGTGAACGACAACATGGTTTTATCTCATTGTATCCATCTAAAGTTAAAAACTATCGGAAAAATTATCAAAATATTGACTAACGTTCACTAACGTTCACAAACGTTCACTACAAAATGATTGGAACGTACAGTAAGTTTAACTTGCTGGACGGTATAACAGGACTCACGCGACACGCTTACTGCACCCAGTTTCCAAAGATAGAATTAGATCCAGTTCCCAGACGAGACTGGGCTGAGTGGGCTCGGTGGTTACCATGGTTACATACTGAGTGGGCAGGGAATAGTATTATATATGCGTAAATGCTCCTATCTGCACCCCAATTATACCCTGAGTTTAAATCTGAGACACATTTTCGCATATGGATGGTTAGTAGTTAGTAATTATTATCCAGCTACACCATTGGGGAGTAAGTGAACTGAGAAG